AGCGTCAAAGCACTGCGTATCTGACAGCCTGGAATTTGCTTCATAAAGTATTTAATTCAAATTCTTCCTCAAACTACGGGATTCTGTGTTGGAAAATGACGACATAAAAGCCCTGCTTGTTGCATAGTTACAGGCTCAAAGACAGTGATGTTCTGGTTTATACTGCATGCAGCATCAAAAGAAGTGCAAATTTCAATGCAATACGAACACACTCTTCATATTTTCCGGGTTATTTATCGACGTTATACCCTGCAGAGGTGAATCATAGAACTGTTTTCCCCAACAATACGATATACTGCAAAGTTACCAATTATTTACGAAATATCCTACATTGCTCAAGAACTCTGACCTTCTTTGTTTCCAGACGTTTGCTACTGAAGTTCCGTCCGTCAAGGTAGATATCGAGTTTGACACATTTTGGACTATGATCAGATTTGAAGAAAATCGACAAAGTTCGATTTCAGCTTCGTAAAGTATGGAATAAACCGGATCGATTCCAACAGAAATTAAGTTCGCACGACAACTTCCTTAATTAAACCTTTCCCAAAAAGTAACCAGACATTTCAAACACCCAGTACTGAATGAAACGCTTTAAAGCTGTCCTAAAATTAGATACACTAAAATATGGCGCGTGTGGGCAAAGTTGCCTCGAGCATTAACATGGACTGGAAGAATGTAAATAGGAAGACATCTTGAGGTGATCGCAGCAACAGATCACAGCCGCCAAAACTAATTCGAGGGCTAAAGCTGGTCTGCGAGCCGCACTTGCGCTGTATTCTGGATCTTGCAAAAATCTTCGAAATTAAATAAAATTACATGGCCGCATGAGCTGCAAACCCGTTCTCGCATTAACAATACCAGAGTAGACAAACTGATGCCACAGAAGCAAACTACTTTTAGGTCATTTAACGTCGTTTCTGAGCGCCCAGTGAGATGGTCATGAAAATCAAGACTTCGCAAGCAAAGAAGTCGTGACTTGTTTCAAGGTACATCCCAGGCATGTCTTTCGTTCCGGACAATGAGAGAAGTCAGGGATAAACCAGTCAAAGCACAAACTGATACGGGGTGCGATCCGGCCACCTCCCCAATACGAAACTAAGCCGCTATAAGAACACGCCCCGTTGCCCGAGGCATAATAAATACACAGAATGACACACTTTAAATACAAATTTCATTTACGTAATCACAAACTGCAACCCTGTAATAGGACAGAGTCA